TTTATTCAATATTTGTAATATCTTTGTATTTCATTAAAATGTCATGTACTCTTTAATCTAACTAGCAAGTCTTAGCAATCTCCAAGATATTTGGAATATCTTGCTTAAGTTCTTCAATAATTTAAGCTTAAACTTGGGCGAAATTCATGCATTGTAAGAAATCTGTATCATGAAATCTGATTAGTTAAAATGAAGCTTGAAAAATATCACTGTAAACTCTACCAAGGTAGTCTTAAATAATCATACTTATCTGGATTTATTCGTCAAAGAGTTTATATTTCATCAAGCTGAATTAAGCTTCTCCATATTCATTCATTTTATCAGAAATAGGCTTCCTTATTGCGTAGAATTCATCACTAATCTGATTCCAGTTCGATTCATGCTTATCTAATAAATCAGCTATCAAGGAACATTCCTCCATATGTCCATTAAACCCTAGAGCTCCAAAAGGATTTTAACAATGAGCTGAATCTCCTATTAGCTAGAAATTGCCATACCTCCAAGGTCCACATTTCATAGAAGCTATCCTAGTTAACTAGCATTTTTCATATAAATCCTTCATATTTGGCATGAGATATCTGGTTTCTGGAAATTATTCAAACATAAACTTCTGAAACACTTCAAAGCCTGAACTCTTAAAATACTCAAATGAGTATTCTCCAGTAATCTTCAAAATTAATCCAATATTTATATTCCCATCATAATTTGGCATTCCCCACATATGAGTATCTACTTCTTTTCTAGGCCAATGAAAAAATGTTTTCTCCTAAACTCTGAATTGATTTCCTTCTGCAGCTTCAAAAGCAGGTATTTAAAGTTCTGTATAACCATATCCATTATACTCTCTTAAATAACTAAATCCTGGAATAGAAAAAAAGGCTTCTTTTACAACAGAGTGAATACCATCTGTACCAAATATCATGTCATATCCACTTTTGGTTTCAACTCTTCCGTCCGAGTGCTTAACATCAAAACTTGATTAATCTATCTTTACCTAATTTTTAACTTATAAAGATATTAAGATTTACATTTGAGATAGACGTATTGTAATTGACTTTAATATTCTCGGGGAAATCTTTTATTCTTTTTGCAAGTATCTTTTAAATTTCTTTCCTATTCATTGAATACGCGAATGTTTCTTGGCTCTTGCCTTTATAGTTCAGTTCAAATTCATCAAGATCTTTTAAGATTATTTTTAATTTATCCATTTTAGCTGAGAATTATAAAACTTCATCTAAAACTCCTATCTTTCTAAAGGCTGGAAAAGCCCTTTAGAAAAGTAAAAAGTTGGTAGATCTCCACTCATCAGATTATTGGGTGGTCAATGGGTCTGATCTTTTCTCAAATAGCTCGACATTGTAACCTCTTAATGCAAGAGAAATTGATAATACATAGCCTACAGGACCTGCTCCAAGAACAGCATATGTTTAGGGTTTTTCCATATTAAATAATGTTAAAGTTTAATTTCTTTATTAATAAATTTATTCATTTAGTTAAATTTCTAGCTTCAATTCATTAATCTTAAATCATGGGGTTTTGGGGTTTTGGGGTTTTGGGG